TTTATCAATAAATAAATAAATAATTAAATAATGTCAGACTGCTTTGGAGCAAACAATTAACATAGAAATATTAATACAGTGTCGAAATGTTTCTTAAATTTCTGTTAATACTCACTTACATACTTATAAGATAATAAAAGCTTTAAGTCAATAAGTATAATATACCGGCCCTTTGAATAAAAGCTGAATACATCCCGGATGAATTAGCGTATTAAACAAAATAAACAAAACACACTTAACACGTTATCGATTACTGTACTCCTAATTTTTCTTAATGATCTTTAGAAGTGTAAAAATCAAATGTAGAACATTAAAATTTATATAGTCTCGTATAATGAACTTGATCTTGATTCTTTGAATTAAGTGTACCCAAATTATAATTATGTTATTAAATTAGCTTTAGGACTTAAGTTATAATTTTTTAAAAGTAAAATAACACAATATAATTATTATTTTATTTTAATAGAAAATACTTGCAAACTTAAACTATAACAAGGTAATATAGTAATACCGATGTCTGTCTGTGTGACTTCAACACTTAGCAGAGATAATATCATAGTATAAGGTAACTATGATATTATCTCTGCTAAGGGTTTGAAGAAATATTAATGTCATAGTTACTCTACAACCAAGCGGTACTACTTAAGAAGGTTTTCTCATGTTAAAAAACGTGTCGGCTCATTGTAATTACTTACAAACTTTATATTATGTCAGAAATATAAGAGAGCTTAAGAGTAATAAACTCACTCTGGCATTTACAACTTACAGACAGTGTAAGCATGCCATCTCGTGTCTCTTTTTTAAGAGTTATCTATGAATCGTTACAAATAAATTTCTAGACAATTCCTTGAGGTGGGGTGGTCCATTTCAAAATGAGTATAGGGAGAAGATCGCTCGGTCGGCGGCCAGCGCGTACAGCGAGCGATGCGTGCGATTTAAAAATAAAATAATAATAACAGTAGCGGTGCGCGCGCGCAGTTAACATGCGTTGCGGTTTGCTAAGGTAAACATTGCATCCGTGATGACTGTGACTTCCGACGATATCATACGATATTACACAAATATAAACCGACTGCTTAGTGTAACATTCAGATACAAAGATAATTTGTACTAATAATATATACGATTAGAGTAATAAAATGTAATTGTTGATACATAAGCAAATATATCACTACGAGTAATATTTACGAATCTGTATAATGATTATTGAAGTGAATGTGCATTGTTGATGATTTAGAACACATTATTATGTTATGTGGGTACGTGTTAGATAATTTTTAATGTAATCTGAATGAGAAACAATTTAACGGCCCACCTGACAGTAAGTTGCCTATATGTCCGTTGTACAGCTCATATGTTGCCATTTCGAAGGATTATGATGTAGGTAATGCATCTTATCCTGTAATTTCATTCTTAAAATTATTTACGAATTTGATATTAACACAGGTCTAGGTTAAATGTACCTAGCTACTACAGTTCTAAAGTTAAGTACAGCTAAGTTATTAGAAATATTATATATACCTACTAAAGAACTTCGCTATTAGTTTTAATGAAATCTGTGCAGCGAATCCCCCTGGGTGCGGTTAAAACAGACTGAATTCTCGTATTCATTTATATTTTTTCCCATGTTAATACATAAGATAATTGTATTGTACAGTATTAAATATGTGTGAAATGTAAGTTCAATCAACAACTAAAGCATTTTGTTTAAACACAATACTAGGTTCGTGGCAATTATTATACAATTTCGACAGGATATGTAAGAACTTGTACAGTTTAGTACAAAAATCTTACCATATATTTGAAAACTTTCGTGTTTAGTAACGCATTATTAATATCTTGCCCAAAAGTTGATAGTAGTGATGTGTCGCGATCTTTAGTTGGACAATAGTGATGGTAGTCGAAAAACTGCTGGTACCTTACAAAATTGACATTGCTGTACTCTCGGATCGCTGTAATCGGATAGTGCCCTAGTTGTATTGTCGAGAGAGATAAATATCTTTATTTAACATACAATTATTCCCTCTAAAACCGATAATAATATGTAAATACCGTAATGACGTGACCAATGGTTGGAATGGGTGCACCATTTAAGTAAATAATTTTATAATAAAAGGAACAAATTGACATATTGTAATAATGTTTTCCAAATTTCAATCTGTGGTTGGGTAGTCAAATAATTTGAAATAATCGTATTCTGATGGATGCAGAGTGTCGCACGACCCCGCGGCCGCCCGTCATCCGTCAGCCGTCCTATCACCCGTCTCGGCCGACATAAAAATTCCCCCCGACGTAACACTTGATTAATGTTTCAAAAAGCCCAATTAAGAACTCCCAAACATTTTTTTTAAACTTTACCCGTATAGTAACAGCTGCCTAAGTCGAAATGGTTTTTACCCTATTAACAAAAGCCAAAAATTCATTGAATGTATTGTTTTAAAGAGATTGTTCATAATTTTTAACATTTATTTATTACAGTTGTATACTATACCACTAAACATATCAACGATAGAGATGATAGATTGTTGCAATTTCATAGATAATTGAAACTGAAGGTTATTTGGATGGATTTGTTATTTGGGTTTCTTGCACGAAACCCAAATAACAACAGTGACAAATTAGTAGGGTAGTAGAGTCAAATTTGTCAGGGATTGTTTTGTTTATAAGCATATTTACAGATTCATGCTATTTTAACTCTTATATTAAAACATATAAGAGTAATAAAACTTTCGGTCGTTTTATAGGTTGTAAACAATTGTATTATACACCAACGGCGTAGGGTTACTTATTATAATTAAGTGTATAATAAATTAATCTGAATTTAAGATATCTGATGTCAATCAGTAAGAATTTCTCAATTTTCAAGGGTCAATTCTATAAGACAGGGCCTGTATGAATTAATTGCGCAATTTGATTATTATGCTTGCATATGTAAGTGAGGCATTAAAACCATAATTTATATAATGAGTTATTTAATAATTTATTGGAATATCCAATTCGGAACTTCTAGGCGGATATAATACGAGTAGATCGATGAATGTCGAAAAATATATGAATATCTTTCTACCCCAATGAGAGTGGGATACAATATATATTATATATTTTGCGGATACAACACTAATAAGTATAGTATATAGATTACTACAAAGTAATATTACTATCTGTAATGAGAAGCATTTATTAATATATATCTATATTCTGAATCTATTACTTACAGTAGAATAATATATTAATGATAATAACAATATTATGAAGTCAAAGAATACCAAGTTGTATCCGGCGAAGTTGTCCGAGTCGACTATATATAAATAACTAACAAAGTAGATACATACACAACAAAGTACGCTAGAGTCTAGTCTGTTATCTTCTCATATTATATGTATACATAGTTACTTCCTCACCATGTGTTAGTGTATATTTTCATTTTTCTTGTGTTGCTAAGAAAACATTATTAAAATGGGTATATTTCGGTACAGAATAAAAAGCAAACCGTGATATTAAAAAAAAGTAGATTCAATACTGAAGCAAATTGTAATGATAGAAAAAATGTTAAAGGTAATAAAAAGGTATTCCTATTTCACTAACTGGTGAAAAAGGAATACCTTTTTTTGACAGTCGGTTGAAAATTTATATTTAATACATTTTTTACTACATAAACTTTAATGAATAAATTTACATACAAAATAACCTTCATTTTTCGATAATCTTTTTAATAAAATTGGCTTCAAGGATCTTTAATTACTCAATAGATTTTAGCAAAGGCGTCCGTGACTCCTCAAAGAAACTGTTATGCAGCCATGACAATTAACTTGGACTAGATTGTACGAGTCTAATGGAAACATATGACGGGTCAGTTTAAGATGTCATCTGAGGGTTGAGTATGTAACAGAATTGGTAACGATTCTCTTTTGAAATAGATTGATAGTTATATGACTATGGATGTGTTATTATTCAGACTTTACCCCTCGATTTAAAAACTACAGACGTTTCATATGAAAAGGCAAACGACCTGATGTTTGTATTAGTAACTAAATAATTAATGTCAGTGTCTATAATTATCGTCTAATCTATTGATACTTTCATACTTACTGACTTACACATATAAAGAAATTGAGTTCTTTTTGCCAATATTTACAATATTTAGTTTCGAAAATACGAATTTTAATATACGGGATGGATATATGCTAATTATACTATATCATTAGTTGGGTAAAAACTAGTATTGTTAAAGAATTTTAGCATTATTGTTTTTTATTATATATGTTTATATAAAATAAAAAACAGTAAATAGGTATTCATATTTTCTTATTAAGTTAAATATATTATGGCCATTTGTTAAATCGCTTTAACAAGGTAATTGTTTAAAACAAGATTATCCGAGGATTACTATAACTGGAGCTCAACAAGCTGCCCCGAATAACGTTAAAATTTATATCGTAAAAAGTAAGGGCGAACTGCGAACACGGGAAGATAACTGCAAGGATTTCTATATTTTCATCAGATTTATAAAAGGAGATGGTTCTCAATACGATGGTATTTTTTGTGTACCGATATTCTCGCCGTTTTGGAACTGATTTAGATGATATTATAATATTACTTGCGATTTATACATTCTGTATAGGTACAATACTAATTTTGATGTAACTAAGTTTGGTTGCTTTAGAATATAATAAAGAAATTGAATGCAATTGAAAACTAGAAGGTTCTCAATTCAATTATATATTTTGAAGTTGGAATACCTAATGCCTAATTATTCTATACTAACACTAGTTCTGAAAGCTTCTCTTTATTCGCTAGAATTGTGGCGCCTTCGGAATCACAATTTTGGTGTCGGGGAACTACTATGCGTTGCGAAAATAGAGATTTACACGTGAAACTGTTCACGAAATTAATTTCGTGAAACTAGTTTTACATTACTAGTTTCTCAATATAACTTTGACTTTATAATAAGTACTACTGCAGTCGTACATTTAGTATGTTTGTTTCAGACTTTCGAATATGATGAAATTGTCTTGCGCACGTAGCGTGCGCTGTCGGATTTGGTCGTTACCTGAGCAGTGACGGGAGGGAGCAGCATGACATTAGCACGCGCGGGCCACCGTGCTCTTCTTATGGCACTCATGCTCATCTGTCAAGGTATGTTATGTAGAACATTTTTGCGTAATTCGATTGAGCAACAAGCCGACCCCACGAGCTAAACAAAAAATTTTTATAAGTATAGTTAGTAAATCACGGGATCTTACCACGTTTTATTTTTTATTGAGCCCCCGATATTTCGGTTGTGATTCAACAGCCATGATTTAATAATTATACGTATAAATAATCACTGTGTCAAATTTAAAACAAAAAATATTTATTAAGGATGATTATTAAATGGTAAACCACTCGTCTAAAGATACCAGCGGCACCGGTCATTATTAATGGATGTCAACAATAATGATCAAGTGCATTATTTATTGCACCAATACATTTGCAATTACCAACGGTTGTTATGAACAGGTATTAGAGTACGACTTGATATCGTTCACTCTATATTGTCCCATTCTACTGTCAGTAATATGTATTTAATGATAGATATATACTTTCAAGAAGATTGGTTCTATAAGTAAAATAGTCAGTGAAATCTCGAACGCAAAGCGTAATATTGGTCCTCAGAAGTGGCACAGCACACGGCTTACTTGTTAGCTGTGAGCACAAGGTCTTGTTTATTAAGGAAAATTACTCATGAAACTTGTCAGCAGCTTGTTTGCCATTTCCAGTAAAACCTATAAAAACATTGACCGATTCTTAAAGTTGTAATTTGAAAAAGAAAACAAACTTTTAATTCCGCATCGATTCAAAGTTTTATCAACTGCCAAAGTAGCGTCTCTGATTCGAATTCGTACTGGTTCTATAAATTTAGATTAAATGAACAAATACTGCATTATAAATATATAGCAGTAATTATTAATTGAAAAAAATATAAACACATTGTTTATCACATCGAATGGACTATCATTCTTCGTCATCTATATGCAATATATTACAGCACAATAGTGAAAAGTACTTATGCAAATAAACAAAAAACTTTATACAGTATTTATTAAGATTCATTATATTTTGGAAAACAGTTACTTATAAAAATGACTATTGCAATTGTTATATTTACATAGATTCCAAATATTTCATCAAATAAATTATATTACGGAATCCCGAACTAATTAACTATGTATAAAAATATCTAAACGAAGTAAAATAAAATATGAAAATGAGATTTATCAATTTTACAAAACTTTAAAAGCCCGATAGCAATGTTTATACAAATACATATTCGTGATATGGCGGTCTACAAAGAATGATTGTTAGTAAACAGTTCACAATTGCTTTCCCCGGAATATAGCACGTGAGTGCTCACAAGCAAAGTCTAAAGATTGTCATTCAGTTGCGGATACGATAGAATATATTCTCTTTAGACAGGGTTTACACAAAGATGTCACTGTTAAGAAAACATATGAGAATATACAGAGAATTCAATTAACCAGTCTCTGTATACAGATTATTTAACAGACATTGTAAGCTATAGGATAATTTAATGGTACCTGCAGTTAATTAATATATTGTAATGTTATAATATACACTTATATGCATAATTAATTGAACTATATCGTCAGTGCTATGTCTGTACAAAAAATTAGGGTGAAATGAAAAAATATGGATGAACCAGAAGATTATTTGTCAAGACACATACCTTCGTTTGTTGTTTACTTGCTACCGACTTACTTTAAGGTCCCGCTTTAAACCAATGTCGCAGCTCGTGGCTTTTGTGGGATCACGACACATGCTGATATGGGTACTCTACTTTAGCCGCTACATCACATACATACCTACCTAATTAGGTTTATCTGTGACATACTACACGGTATTTGCCAAAGTATTTTATAATTTGTTTTTATAGGTTGTATTTGTATAAATCAGATTCCGGTCATTAGTGTGAAGCAGTTTATATTTGTATCAGATATTATAAGTTTTCGCTCACTTTATTTTAAAAAGACACTGTTTATTTTCTTTATTAAGAATTTACAATAAAACTAATACATTTTAATAGCTTAGAATTATATAGATTCTTCTTTGGTGTACCTACCAATTGACATTTTGAAAATTACCTACAAGAACACTAATATTACAATGAGTTTTTTTATACCTGTAAAAGATCTTTAATTTCTAAAACCGATTGATAGACCGCTATTACAAATCCAAGTGTACTTTCTTAACTTAAATTTATAGCAATAACAATATTTATATTTTAGTAGATAGAGTAACTCTAATATAATAAAGTAGTCTACTTTTACTACAAAACCGAATCTTGAATCACACAAGTTTTTTTTTTATAAAGTAGTTGGCTCGCAAAAAGAATTCGTAAGCATCGACAGAATAAGTTTAGGTTAGGTACATTTTGTTCCAAACAAGAAATCAATTCAATTCAAAGCGATTAGAGACCACTTGAAATTAGCGAGGCAAAAATACTGACACCGAATAGCACTCACCACAGCCAATCCCAAAATACAAAATTAGAATTCACACGTTTTTTACTCTCTTATTTTTTTCTTTTTCAGAGGACAAAATATCTACTGACTTTGCTTTTATTGAAATTACCCTCTTCGTCGCGGAGAACGAATTAAAATCGCATTAGGAAATCCCGTTTCCGCCTAACTTTTCCAGTCTCTGCGCAGAGTCTCGGTGTATCGGAATAAATGGCCCGAACTTCTTTTATTTATATAGTCTTGTTGAATATTTATGTTTCCCGCCTATTTTTGCATTTCTGTCACTTCATGCCAAAATATATTATATATTTACCTAATTAGTTGTTCGAAACACCTTCAATTATTTATTATACATATATTTGCAACATACAATATGAATAATAATGGTCAGGAAGCTCAAATTACTCTTAAAATAAGTTTTTTAAAACGTTTGGTGAATTTTTGAATATATTAAATAGACAGTGTATAAACATTTCCTATTGTTTGAGATTAATATTTGATACTTAAATATGTATTATCTATTCATATAATAATTGTTATTTGACTTACTGTCATTATTCAAATAGTAATTAAAACTGGTTTTCATTAAACACATGTTTACCAACGCTTAAAAAGCATGTTACTATGGCGCGTATATTTCTAAAATATCTATGGTACGGTTCATATATACGGTATACAAGCTACACTTAACATTTCCTATCAAGTGAGACATCAGTTTATCTATTGTGCGTGTTATGTACAGATAAGAATCATAATCGCTCATTAATTACAACCCATAGTATGATGGTCCTACCTGCTTTTACGTCTCTAGTACACAAATAAGTAACTACACTATTGAACATTGCGCGTTAATATTTCCGACGAAACAATTATTAAATGATGGTAATTTAAATATCTTGATATTTGATAAGTTGATAATTATTAGATCACAAACAATTGGGTTAAAGTTAGTAGCAATTTCTTTATTACAACGACAACTTTCCTCCCTGGTGATTCATTCGGCGGGCCGCGAGCGCGCCGCAGTTTATCCTGACCAACATTTGATGCTCGTAATACCAACTTTGTCCCTTTTTAATAGCCCCACTGTGATTCTCGTAAATAACGCCATTTACAATTTACCAAGTTACTTTTTTTCTGGAGTTTCGTCCACTCGTTTATATTGAAATACTAGACTATGCTCGCAGTTAGCCAGAATTATTCACCACATGAAACGTACTGAATAATTGTTAGGTACAGAAGATTTTTAGCAATAGTTTATTTTTGCAGGTTGCAAAAATAAACTATTGCTAAAAATCTTGTCAATCTTCTCAATGTACTCGCTTCAGACGACGGAATATACACCTCTACTACAATTTTTCCTTCCTCGCATATGTAAGTATCTACATCCTTATGTACATAAGTTAGGTCTACTCTATCATACACAAATAGTTACATATATTCTAATATTATCAATGCATATAATAAGACTGTAATAATTTCTTTCTCTATAATAAAATTCTTTAAAGCCAGGAAGGTACCATTAATTAGTACTTATAGCTATTTTGGAAGGTTGTGTAGTAGTACAGTTCTATTTAAGTGATTTTAAAAATACGGAGCGCCAGCAGCCTTTAACAAACGAGGTCTTAACTCAGACTTTGAAATATTTTGTTTACGAGGAAACTGCAAACTAGTCTGTGCTGTTACAATGAAATGCTTTAGTATGGTAATATTTATATAAATCTTTTATGAAATTAAGTCAGGAAGACGTATTTTGAATAAATATTCCCAAGTTTCTTAGAATGAGTGATTTACAGTTACGTGCTAAAAATAATATATATTAATCTGTAGGGATGTGTACCTATTAGTTTTTACTTGCTGACGCCATTACTCATTGCAAAACTCAGTCTTGATTTGCAAAGAGAATATCAATTACTATTATATTATTATGAGCACGAGTTATTTTAAAAGAAAAGCTCTATTATATCAATATTATTATACTATATTTGACTATAACAGTTAATTAAAATCAACGTTTTTCTTTTTTAGGCTTTCTATTATTTTCTAATGGTTTTGTGGACTTATTATTTCGTGGCGAACGGAAAATACTTTTGATATTATTTATCATAATAAAAAAAAATCCGAGCAAATGGAAATATAAACTATTGTTATTACTGATATAAATTTTGTGTTTGGAATTATTCTATTTCCTATTTCTGTTTCTATCTTGTCGGTTTGATGAAATTATTAAGGACCTAATTATTATCTGATTTTTATTGATTTACCATAAACGACCGTCACAAAAATATTTTGTTAGAGAAAGCAGTTTTTGTAGTAATGTACTTATTATATCGTAAGATCAGAATTGGAACCGGAAATATAAGGCGGACACGCGTCAGGCAGGCTCGACAAATAGCTAGCACTATTATTACACTGTTACAACATGAATTTGGTTTGGTTATTACTATACGTCCGAGGTTGGTTAATATAAAAAGATCCCAGCAAGTCACGCCTCGTGGTTGTTGCTAGCACAAATAGGATAATCGCGTAGTTATTGCCTATGCCGGAATAGACAGTAACCACGCCAAATGCTCGTTTATTTTACATGCTATAAGCCATAACTCCGTTATGTGGTAACGT